AACCGCGCATGTGTTGTCGCTTCTTTCGTCTTGCGCCATACAAATAGTCTTACTGGTTGTGGTGGGGCAACAGCCACGTGAAATCATGTGATATACAAGCATTTGTTCTTTTGCCTGAATGCTGCTGGAACAATGTGGAATAGTCGCACAGGGATTAGTAAGTTTTCAAGCACATAAAGCAACAGAGACCTGCAATGCATTTGTTGCCTACCGAGCATCGAGCTGCACTTTCTCAGGCGGTGTTTAAGCCTATTTCAACAGCGTGTGATTCGCTACTACCCGCACACATGAAATGAAGTTCTCCCGATTTCCAGAAGGCGCACATAGTGAAGGCATCCCACTTCGAATCCATGTACGAACTGGGCCACAAGATATCATTTATATGCGTGGCCAGAGGCAACCCTAGGCCGACAATCACATGGCGCAAGGACGGACAGGAGATACCTTCGCACAAATTCCTGAAGGTAAGTCAGTGCTCTAAGCTCCTGAAGCCCTAAGCTCCGCTGGTTGTAGTGTGCATGCACCGCGGGTTGTTGCTGTACTGCGGACTCCGAGATTTTGACGAGAGCATTTTTTTATTTTTTCTACAGCCTCAGCGAATGAAGTCTGAGGGCGATTCTGTGACTCGTAAAAGGCCTTTCCGTGGAGCTTTTGGGGGCGAAAATTTGTATGGTATATCTACACGTGTATATATATATACATATATATATACATACATATATATATATATATATATATATATATATATATATATATATGCGTGTGTGTGTGTGTGTGTGTGTGTGTGTGTGTGTGTGTGTGTGTGTGTGTGTGTGTGTGCGCACGCGCGTAAAAATGTAATGATCGCAGAACACATCAGTGATTTTGCACTAAGGATCTTTGATCTTAACGATACTGCGATTTCCGAGGCAAAAGCCCGCAAACTTGAACGGTAAGGTCGTCAACGCTGAGTCAGCGGTCGTTCTAATCAAACCTGTCTTGAAGAGGATGTTCTGCCAAAATATACCACCACGCAGACACACACACACACACACACACACACACACACACACACACACACACACACACACACACACACACGCAGAGAGAGGGAGAGTGGAGAGGAGAGAGAGAGAGAGAGAGAGGAGAGAGAGAGAGAGAGAGAGAGAGAGAGAGAGAGAGAGAGAGAGAGATATATATCTATATATATATATATATATATATATATATATATATATATATATATATATATGTAGTCAAGTTTTTCCTCTTACTTCTTTGCATTGCATGCATTTTGATGAGGTTTTCAAGGGTTTTCAATTTATCAGTAGAGCTTCACTTAACTACTTCCGCTTCTTTGGCATTCGCTTGTCACATTAACTCAGCATTTATGGATATGAATGACGTCAGGAAAAATGAACGCTAGTGTCTGGCACAGCAGAGGGGTAATCAATTTAACAAGAAATTCACTTGTGGAAATCTTAGTATGTTTATCCCTAGACCACGTGTTTTGTCCTGGTATGTACCTGTTTTGTGAAACTAGCCTTAAAACGAACTGAATATCCAAGTAGGCAATCTTTTAAACAACGTAAGTTGTTCAGTGCATTAGCGAGAAACATTGTTTACATAGATAAAACAGTGGTAGTTGCTTTATTCTTGGAAAAAAACCGGAGAATGGAGATATATTTGGGCTGATATTTCGGCAACATGCTTTTATCGAAAAAATAGCAGAAAACTCCTGCCATTGTTTCGATAAAGGCATGTTGCCGAAACATCAGCCCAACAATATCTCCATTATCCTGGTTTTTCTCCGAGTAATAAGGCTAATACTACTGTCTGATCTAAACAATCTTTTCCAAAACCAAAATGTCCTTCTAAAGTGTCAATGCGCTAAACGCTATAGGAAGAAATCGAAGTCATAATGTGGCGTTTCATTGAACTTGCAAGATAATGACATCACATTTTTAATCAGGATAATGGTATCCTAAGAAAAATGTACCAGTTCGCTTGAGAGAGAGGAAGAAAGAGTGCCTCAAGCTCTCATACCATCTATTATGCAATCATTTTGATCAATTTGTGTTGTGCGGGCACAACATAGCCCAACCGTTGGGAAAGCAGATCAAATGCATCACTTTTGTAGTCGTGAGCCGGGAGTGCAGTGGCGTTTCTCCCACCGCAGCGACGGCTTCAAACCGAAATGAAGAGGTTATCAGAAACATTCTCAGGAAAATGACATTGCCGATCAAATCGAGCCCGTCTCATCTATTTATATGAGTGAGAGGTTCAATGTGGCACGCTCTTTTTGAAGAATATTCCGGCCTCACTATGGTCTTGGTACCGACTTCCTCTTCCGACCTCACTATGGCTTTGGTACCGACTTCCTCTTCCCATCGGTCATGCCCGCATCGCCTGCCCTTGTTTCGCATCCCAGCATACCCCTTCCTCGTTCTTTACGTTATGTGACAGCGCACAATCTTCCACCCGCTCCTACCCATCTTGCTCGGCGAAGAGTATCCCATCCAAGTCGACAGGTTCTTCACTGTTCCCATAAGAGAAGGCTTTTTCACTCCAGGTAGTCTTCTAGACCCATCTCGCGCACATTCCTTACATTATTCGTGTCTAATCAGATATCATCAAACCATCACGTTTCCCCACCAATCGTTGGCTTCACCCCACAGCTGTGGATAAAGAAATCAGACAGCTGATTGCACAACTGACGAAAGATGTGCGAAGCCACACCCAAACCGACAGTCACACTCACTTCCCAACGAGTTCAGTATATTGGGACTCACGTGGCAGGTTATGCCGAAGTCCAACAGAGAGATTATTACTCATAACGAAATTCAGAGCGTAGCGATTGTTTCGTTTATATGTTTCGTCAGCGAGTGTTTTTTTGTTTATCGTTAGGCATTGTTTCATTATCGACTGTTTCGCTCATGATCACTTGGTAACACATTGTGTGCGATGGAATGCCTGCTAAAGGATCACGCCGGACAACGATCATGCGGAATGAACAACGTAATGGAAGGTGATCGTACCAGATCAAGATCAATGACATATAAGATAACAAATGAGACAAGAGACCATATGACCAAATTTCGGGGGATAAAGATCGTGAGAGGACGATGTCGTAAAGGCAGAATGCGTGCAGGATGGAAATCGTAGACAGAAAATGCATATGATAGAGGTCGTGCGGGATAAAGGTTTTCGGGATAGTAATCGTGTGGTAAAGTGACATAAGAGGTGAAGGTTGTAATGATAAAGGCTGGCACAACACATACATTATACGGAATAGAGATCACATGGACGATTCCCTTTCTAAGGCACGGCTTCCCCAGAAGAAACAACCGGCAGTTAGCGCCGGACCGGCCAACGATACTCCCCCTCCCCCACCCCTTTCCCGCACTGCAGTCGCAGGACGGAGCGGGGTGTCTGGGCGGAGGATGGTGCCAACGGAAAATGCAGCTTGAGCCGAGCATTCAGCTTTATGGTGAACACCTGCCTTCTGAAGACATTCTCCTAGTGAGCGCTGGAAATTCGCGAGAAATTATGGCAATGGACGCCGACCAGCTTCCTTGGCAAAAGCCCGTGAGACATGGTATTATACTTTACTTATTGTACGGTTGAATGCTAGATTTGCGCGAAAATTTTCATAAAACCAGCCCAGCAATGATCCATAACCCAAGACCATTAACATTTTGTGTGCATTTTTTTCAAAATTGGTGCTTAAGACATCTTTCAGATTTCCGGCACTAGGTGAAGAGTTGAATGAGGGAACAGAAAAGACGATCATGGCAAGCCTCAGTCTTCCACAACTGAATATGCCACATCAGATAGTGCTTCTACCTTTATTTTTGGAAACCTGCACCCACGGTGGTTGCGCTGATAATCTCGCACGATCTATCGCCTCGCTGATTATCGATAAGCGATCATTAGCTTATTATCTCCTTTGGATCTTTTACTTGTCATCATTTGCAATACGATATTATTCCCGACGATGTTTCTCCGGAAGGAAAATGCTGAGTGCGCTGAGTGTCAGTTGACTAAGAGGCTACACAACTTATTGCTTGGAATTCCTTGCGTATCGCGTACCTTGACTGTATTGCGACCTTGACTGGTTTAGACAGCTGACATGACTCTTTGTCTTCTTTTGGGATAAAAGGCTATGCCGGACGGACACCAGACATGACGTCATACGTGCGAACCACTCGGCCGCTTTTCAGAGTTTTAACGACAAGCTCATCATTCGAAAACTGTGATACACTTATCATGTGCAGGTATTTACACTAAAGTCCTCCGCCTCGTGTTTTTTTTTTTTTTTTTTTGGTAGGGGCCACAGTAAAGACATTAATGGGAAAACTTCTGATATACAGACGGTTGCTTCCGGTGTCCTGAGGTGATCGCTTCCGGTTCATCTCCCCGTTTTCTTTGTTTATTTATGCCCTCCGGCGTGACATTGAATCCGGCTGTCTTTTGTACACCAGTGACGTCAAAAATTTCGCAGCATTGCCTCTCCAACTGGCGGGCCGCAGCCACAACGGGACGTTGACCGTCTGTAAGCCCGGTCTGTCAGTTTAGGACTGAGGCGCATGCTAGTCCAGGTGAAATACTATATTAGTGTAACGGAGCTCAACATGTCAGCTCAGTTCCAGACCCATGAGCGGCACGACACAAAGCTCAGTTTGCCGCTCGTGTCTCTGGTGTAGTCAGAGCTAAACGAGCACTTAACGTTTTCACTTGGTCTTTTTGGGCTACCTCGGGCAGCTGTTGTTGTGGTTATCAACGTACTCATATTCAATTCGCATTCGTATGAGCTGAAAACGTGACCACGCATTACGCGGTCATTGGTGTCTGGAATCTTATCACTCGAAAACCCTGCCGGTCGGATGTATGTTCTGTTTTTTACCGCGCAAGAATGATTTCACAGGCTATCACGCTACATCAAAATCCAACAATGGTGTAACGAGACGGCAACCAAGCAGTTTATAATGTATCTCAATGACAAGGTTCTATAACGTCATTAGATTAACGTCAATGTTGTGCGTTGATTTTATTTTAGGCTGCATGACTATTTCTTAGATGTTTAATCGGTATTCGACAACAATCCAAGGTAATCCCTGAGAACTCCTCGCCCAGCGGTGGTTAGAATTGGTGATCAAATTTGACTGGACACTGAAAACTACTTTCACAAAGAGCTCCAGCAGATAGGGGTCCGACTCAGGCCGGGAAGCTGCGACACGGTGGATCTACGGCGCTTATTAAAGTTCCACCTCTCAGACGCCGTGACCAGCCGGCAACCAGGTCTTTTCAGGTGTGGCGGCCCAGTGTCGCAAGCCTGTGGCGAAACCTTCGCTTTTACGTGCTGTGGTCGGGTCACTGGGACATCGCGGGTGGGTGACCATCCAGCCGCCTTAATTTTCCAGGCCTCACCCTCCCCTCACGGCTTGCCTGCCCTGTGTTTCAGCTTTGGGAGTGGAAGCTGACCGACAGCCGGTTGAAGTCCAAGATGGAGATCGACCCCGCCTCCCAGATGGACAAGGGCATATACCAGTGCATGGCAGACAACAAATACGCGATTGACGTGCGTGCCTTCCGCACGTCGTACGGCGAGAACTAGGCTGCGCCTCACCCACTTATATGTAGTACGCGACGGCGTGGTCCGAGCCGAATGTCAGCTGCACGGTATTATAGCACGCCAAGGATGTGATGCGTCGTTGCGTGCGAAGAAACGTGCCATGCCGATGAGCGCCCTCGTCGAATGAGTGATACGCAAAACCTGTGAACCGGTGTGGCGTCGTGCGCCTCTTGGGCAGTTTTTGTTTGTTCGCGTTGCGTGTACACGTTTTGGCTGGCATTTAATGGTGCACACGCCGTCACAGCGGTGAGGAAGAAGGTCGCTTTCAATAAAAGAGCAGCAAACCAAGGTCGTTGGACTGCATCGTACCACAATGAACCTCCTGACGTAGTAATGATCCGCGGAGGTAGTCAGCCGCGGTAGAACACCTAGGATGCGCATTTTGAGTGCCTCCCCGTGAACGGCAGGACGAGGGCACCGCATAAACACACACTCATACTTCAGTCTTATTGTGTTAAATGGCGCACCCAAAGACCCTACTGGAGAGAGGAAGCACGGATTGACCAACTATTCGATGCTCCTTTTTTACCACCTTTCTTGAACACAGGAATTATTTTTCGCCTGCTTACGCACCTCCCGGAAGGCGCCAGATCCACCTGACGCATGTACTTCCTTGGTAAGGGGACCACAAGCTCGTCAGCACATTCAGCAATATTACGGGCGCTAACACTGTCTGTGTCCCGTGCCATGGAAGGTACCACAGAGTGCAAACCCATTTTGCAGCATCTCTCCATGCATGCCGCTCATAAAAGGCATCCAAATGATGCACGGGCGCGTGAGACAGCACCGTCGCGGCGGGGGACACTGAACCTCGCAGCAAAAACGTCGTTCATCACGGTCGCATGGTCCGGATCATAAGTCGCATCATAACTAGCATCGTCGCACGGTGCAGGTGGGATGTGTGATATGGTAGTGACGTTTTAGAAGCGGTCAGTACCGTTTGTGGTTGTAAAATTGTCAGCCAGCTTGCACAGCTACTGGAAGGGACTCTCAACTAACTCGCAGTGTGTGGAAGTACGCTGTCCCCATGATGACCACACTGCAGTGCCCTTAAGAAGAGTTCAAACAATCTTTCGACAGCAGCTTTATGTCTCGCCGTGTCTCGCCTCTCGTTATCAAGGTCGGCCCTATTTGCACAGGGTTTCGTCGCATACGACTGCATGTAGCCCGTCAGCCGGAGTGGAGCTAACCACCTGGTGGAAAGCCGCCTGTGAAACTTTCAGGCTTATGAAATGGACTCGTCCAAGCGACCTTGACGTTGTCGGATGGCCTGAATAGTCAGTGAAGGGGCTCCCATTGCTTCCTAACGCAGGGGAAATTATGACGTCAGCAGGTCAAACACATTTAAACGCTCACTCGCACCAATGATTAAAGCGTTTCAGAGTTTTGCCGGGTGAATGAAATATGATTTAAATCTTACTTTAATTTTAAGTACACTATACGCTCCAGCAAACATAATTTTTACCTTAAGTATCAGAAATATCTGGCCACGAGGACGTAGGCCGGGTGCTCAACTTATTTGCATAATGCCCGTTAGACAGTGATGCGCAAATGCAGTTACGATTCGGTGTCGCTACCAGCTGGTCGTATGCAATTTGGCGCGTGGCTAGGCCAGCTGGGTTACATCATTGTATTAAAATTGGGACTTTTTTCCAAGGAGTCTTTTCCACAACAGGTTAAAAACGATCGCTTGTAGCCACACGAAATTCTCGTCAGCTTGTTTCACCTATTAATTTAACATCCTTTGTGGAAATTGTAAGTTTTGATCTTTTGATTTGGTCTTGGTCAGGTTTGGCTTGGTTTGGTCAGGTCAGGTCAGGTCAGGTCAGGTCAGGTCAGGTCAGGTCAGGTCATTCAGGTCAGGGTCAATCTCCACAACACTCTGACCACACATAACATTCCTGTGTGCCACTTGCCACCGTCCAGGCCTTCTCTAGTAATGGAACGTGATAGTATCTACAGTTTGTTGATTTCATATTTTTCAACAGTAAGAGGCCAGTGACCTGAAGCCAGGCCTTTTTTGATACTTTTATTTCGTAAATAATGCGACTTTGTACATCTTTTACGAAGTTTTGATGTACTCCACCGAAAACATGCTGTGACTGTATGACAATTATAATGCATAATGATGGCACAATAGGTGCTGTGAGAGCACGAAAGGTGCAATGAGTTTATCCAAGGCCAATGACATATGTTGTCAGTAGCGCAGAGGTTAGATAAACGAGTGCGACGCGTGTAACCATCTCTTTATTGTGTTGGGAAGCTGATCACGCATCATTTTATGTACAAACGTGCCTGTTTTTAGTTTGTTTTAAATACATTGCCAAACGCCTAAGGGATTATGTATGATGTAAACAACAGTTGCGCGTCTTGAGCACCCGCAGATGGTGAACACGCTATTTCTGACACACAAAAAAACATAGTGCTGGTCACATAAACCCAGTTAGCACTTAAGTTTTTGCCATTTGGATGGTTTATGAATCTAGCCTTAATTGACCTCGAATGACTTCTAGGTAAGCCTAAAATAGTGCTTTTTGTGTCTGGAATGCTTTTGTACCACAGTTACACGTAATAAAATAAACCTGGCCGGGGCACATTGCGAAAAATATCGTTCTTGTAGGCTACTGGTGACCAGATCTGACCTCGCCCTTGCGGGGAACAAAAATTGTTGGAATGACCTCCCAACAGTTAACACAGCTTTCAACTGCATTTATCAGAACGGCTGCTTTGACCTTCTGTGACGTCTGGTGGCATGATGTTTGACCCAAGCTTAAAAACTATGTGCGTGTTCTTCGTGATTTGACGATGTTTTTATTGCGGGATTTCTCACACGCGTCAGGAAGTTGGAGATTTCAGGGGTGGGGAGGGGGAAGCCTACCTTCCCCAGGCCAGACACGGTTGCCAAGACCCCCGGCCTGGCGCAGGTGCACACACACAAGGTACGAGAGAATCGGCTACCGGCATAGTTTGGCAAGGATAATGTTTTGCCGAAGTTACAAATTTGCCACGTGCAGTGCCGTTCATCAGCACGTCCTAACTGGCGAGTGATGAATGCATTAGTTTCGATCTATGTATGCAGCGGTCAAATCGGCAGCCTCCGATGCCCTGGCTATGCATGTTTTCTGCTCGCGTACGACATGTCTCGAAGTTTGTGTAGGTGCGGTTCTCTGCAATCCTCATGCAGCAGGCCCCGACCGAGTTCAAGACATCAATGCTTTCCGTTTATTGGAGTCAAATGGCAAGGTCACATGGCCATGGTTGCAGCTTCGACAGCACGAAGTGATGAAGCTGACATCAAATTCATCAGGTGATGGCTTAAGCAGTTCATGCTTGGTAGCACTTCTACTTCTACTCCTAGATGCCACCTAGAACGCTAGCCCGCAGCCTGCATATATATATACATATGATATATATGATATGATATATACATATGATAACACGACTGATACATACGATAACACGATACATATGATACATATGATATGATATATACATATGATAACACGACGATGAGTGGCAGAGGCACATCGATAGTACTTTGAAGGCCATTAGCATACAAAGAATGACAATTGCTTTTATTGGGTATAATAACTCACTTCGCATTCATTACTCGTCACTCATCATTCAATTCACCGGGAGTTCCGTGAGAAGTTTTCCAATGTTTGCAACCTTTGGAATGGAACGGCGATAATACGGGCACATGCCAGTGAATGAACAAATGTCTTTCATATCGGAGAGATCATTTATATATATAAAATGACTTCTGCTGTGCTAGGATCTAGCTTGATCCCATCTGGTAAAACTATATAACCTAAGTGTCTAATTTTCTGTTTCAGAAATTCGCATTTTGACATTTTAGCTTTCAAGCCTGCACTGCACAGACGTTCAAACACTGTTTTGATGCGATTGGCATGTTCTTCAAAGGTTTTTGTGAAAATGATGATGTCATCAATGTACGCAATCGTAAGTTTGTGTTGTAGACCTGCAAAAACGTTGTCCATAAGCTTTGAGAATAACCCTACACCATGGCACAGGCCGAGCGGAAGGACAGAAAAATTTATACCCTGAAAATAATTGAAAGCAGTTTTGTCGATGGAATCAACAAAACTTGCCAATATGGGCAAGATGCACTTGCCTATAGCAACTTGCCAATAACCACTTTTTAGGTCCAGCCAAGTGGAATGCTTTGGTTTTCCAAGCGAGGGGAGGATGTCATCGAGGCGAGGTTGTGGATGACAAATTTTCACGGTTACTTGCCTCAATTTTCTGTAATCTACACGGTATCTTTTTCCTCCACCTTTCCTGTCAATCATGGCAAGCAGGTTAGACCACGAACTTTGAATAGGTTGAATGATTCCAGTCTTAAGAAGCCCAAGTGTGAAGTCTTCCACCATCTGTCCCTGACTGGAAGGAAGCCTTTAAGGATTGTGATTTTTGGGCGGATAATCCTTTGTATCTATCTTTATCTTTCTTGACCTGTACGACCAGCATCCAGATTGCTTTTTGGCAAATATGTTTGTGCAAATATGTATTCCATATAACGCATATGGAACGAAGATCACTTGGCCATTGATAGCAGGAACGCACATGATATTGTCTGTTTTGCTGCGAGTTTGGAGGTTAATGTAGAGGCTGAAATGAAGGTGGACCAAATTTGTTGCCGGAAGTTGCTATTTCCAGGTCACTGAGATGAGTGAAATTGGCGTAATTGTGCAGAAGTTTGAGGCTGTCTCTGAGACAGTCCATTTTAAGGTAAATATCGTCGGTTTTGCGGATGACTTTGACACTTTGGTATGTATGGATGCGAGTTCTGTTTTGAGCTGGTGATTGTTTCAGGACTTTGTCCAATTTTGAGCTTAGCTCTTAAACCGACGCCTCTAATTTTCAACTCTTCTAGCATCATAGCATAGTTACGGACAATATGCATGACCACAGGTTTATCAGTGTGACCTATGGTGCCTCTTCACATTTCGAATGTGTGGTCCGTTTGTTGTTCCGCACACGCAAAATTAACGACTTCCGGAAGGGTGTGAAGTTGTTTACGGATGATTCCGCGGGCTAACCTGTCGCCAATCAGTCCTTTTGGAACACTTCCACGTTGAGGCTTGGGACCAAAGACATCGTCAAAAGCCTCAGATGCTACCGCCTGAAGCCTTTCCGAAAGATTTTGGAC